TTGTCTCGTCTCGGTTTCTTTATATTAGTTTAACCTCCATCTGTCCATCTGTGCTGTTCCAGATGATGACCCTGCTGAAAAATCCAGCTTAAACCAGCCTAGGCTGGTTGGCTGGTTTTAGCTGGTCAACCAGGCTGGTTTTAGAAGTGTTTTGGCCACTCCACTTCCAGGCTGTTTTCCAGCCATTTCCAGCCTGGTCTTAGCTGGTCCAACCAGCCTAGAAAAGCTGGGAGTCCAGCCAAAACCAGCTATATCCAGCTTAAACCAGGCTGCTCAAGCTGGTTTTAGCTGTATTTCGCTGGTCATTTTCCAGCCTGACCAGCTAAGACCAGGCTGGAAATGTCTGGAAACCAGCCTGGAAGTGGAAAAAACCCCTCTAAAACCAGCCTGGTCCTGGAAATGGCTGGAAACCAGCCTGGAAGTGGCCAAAACCCCTCTAAAACCAGCCTGGTCGAACAGCTAAAACCAGCCAACAAGACCCAGCCTAGGCTGGTTTGAGCTGGATTTTTCAGCGGGGGAGTGTGTGATAGAAGTGTTTTATAGAGGAAACACACACTGCATTACTTTATATAAAAGCATCTGAGAATGTCAACGAGACACAAAACTAACATTTGCATTATTAATGTTATCATCACCGCTCATTTATTTCTCTGCATGTTCATTAACGCCCCATTCACACGGGGCTTCAGCGTCAACGCTTGACAGAGGGCGTGTCTGAAGTTGGGGCTGAAGCGATCAGCATAGCAGCGTCAGCCAATGAAATTCAGTCAGCAATAGGCCACTGTCTAGCTGGTGTATTTGCATACAGCGATCTGATTGGCTGACGCTTCCGTCAGCGCTTGAAAAGTTGAGCTAGTCCCAACTTCTGCAGCGAGCAATGCTTCTGAAGCGGTGCCGACGGATCCACAATGCAGTTCGGCAATGCTTGTCGTCACCCATTCAAAGTGAATGGGAAGCGTTGACGCTGACGCCCCATGTGAATGGAGCGTAATTCAGCTCATCTGTGTTTCTCCAGCGCCTCTACACTCTAGATTGTCAAACACAGTAGTTCTAGTGAACTGAAGCGGTGTCAGTCCAGTGTTTGAGTTCAGTTCAGTGTGCTTTAATCTTCACTGCTGAGAGTCCAAACACTGAAGAGCAGATCCATCCATGCACAGAAACACAAGACCCAAACCAAGCAGGCCAGTGGAGGAACACACTTCACCAGCTGACCAAAGTGAAGGAGAGAAAGCTGGAGAGAAACCAGGCTCTGTTGGGCATCACCATTTCTCCTACGCACAAGCATCTTGTGCAGAGCTGCAGTCTAGGCGCTGGACATCCATCATGGAGAAGCTGCAGGTGGGAGAGGTCCCCAGCGGGCCCTTCAGGATCAGTGCGAGGACTCATCTGTCACTGGGGTCTTACAGGAGTCAGTCTCACGCTCTCCACTCCATCACCACCACAGCAGCTGCTCAGGATACGGCCTGGTCCAGGATTATGGAGACCTCTGGAAGTGCTCTCTGGTTGGCATCAGCTCTTCACAGGTCACAGTCTAACCACACGTTCACACCGAAAGAGGCGAGAGTGTTCAAGGTCGCTCTGGCCTCCCTGGTGACAACACTGTCTGCCTTCAGCTCCGGCGGCAAGAGCGTCAAAACTCGCTACATTGATCTCGCATTTAAATGAGTCGTTGCAGTATTTATCAGTTACATTCCTGCATACAGCATGCTTTCTAGCGTGAAAATGTTGCGCACTTCTTATCAAATTCATACAACAATGGAAGATCAAGTTGCGTGTGCTGTGACTTTGCTCTGTTTATCCAATGTGTGTCCATATCTGAAATATCCTGAAGCAGCTGTACTGTTTTGTACTGTCCCGCTGGATTCATTAGTATTTTTTAATAGTATCTGGATTTATGATGCAAGCTGAGACTGCATCACTCAGCGATGCAATGTCAGACACAATGCACTCAAATGGAGCTACTGACGTCACTGTGAGGGGTGGAGTCAGGGGCGGGGTTAGGTGAGCCCATTAAAAAGCATCGGATGCAGCTC